CACTCACACTAACACTCGCTCACTTACACTCACTCATGCTAACACTCACTCACACAAACTCATACTAACACTCGCTCACTTACACTCACTCATGCTAACACTCACTCACACAAACTCATACCAACACTCGCTCACATTCCTTCACACTCACACTAACACTCACACTAACACTCACTCACTCACATTAACACACACTAACACTCGCTCACTTACACTCACTCATGCTAACACTCACTCACACTCATACTAACACTCGCTCACATTCCTTCACACTCACACTAACACTCGCTCACTTACACTCACTCATGCTAACACTCACTCACACAAACTCATACCAACACTCGCTCACATTCCTTCACACTCACACTAACACTCACACTAACACTCGCTCACTTACACTCACTCATGCTAACACTCACTCACACAAACTCATACTAACACTCGCTCACATTCCTTCACACTCACACTAACACTCACACTAACACTCGCTCACTTACACTCACTCATGCTAACACTCACTCACACAAACTCATACTAACACTCGCTCACATTCCTTCACACTCACACTAACACTCGCTCACTTACACTCACTCATGCTAACACTCACTCACACAAACTCATACTAACACTCGCTCACATTCCTTCACACTCACACTAACACTCGCTCACTCACACTAACACTCGCTCACTTACACTCACTCATGCTAACACTCACTCACACAAACTCATACTAACACTCGCTCACATTCCTTCACACTCACACTAACACTCGCTCACTTACACTCACTCATGCTAACACTCACTCACACTCATTCACACTTACTCACTAACACTCACTCACACTCACACTTACTCTCACTCACACTAACACTCACTGACACAAACACTCACTCACACTAACACATCACACCCACTGACAATCCCTCACACTTACACTAACACTCACACACACTTATTCACACTTACGCTCACTCACACTCATACCCACTGACACTTACTCACACTAACACTCACACACACTTATTCACACTTAAGCTCACTCACACTCACACTCATACCCACTGACACTCACTCACACTTACTCACACTAACATTCACACACACTTACGCTCACTCACAATCAATCACACTAACACTCATTCACACTTACGCTCACTCACGCTAACACACACTCATACCCACTAACACTCACTTCATGCATATAGAGTGATCTTGTACTGGGTGGTTGCTAGTGTGTTGCTATGCAGTTGCATGATGGGGTTATTTATGGGTTTGAAAGTGTTATATAAATACAATTTACGTGAGTTAAGGTTACAAATCATCATTCTGTCATCCTTTACTCATCTAATAATTTGTTCAAACCTCTTTCTTCAGTAAAACAACATTGGACCCCATTTCCTTTCATTATATCAAAAAACAGACATTTCTCAAAACATCTTTTGTGTTTAGCAGAAGAAAGACATGAGGGTAAATAATGACAGAGTGATCAGATTTGGTGGACTATTGAAATGATTAAAAATGCTTTAAAAGAATAAAACTCTCTCTGTTTTAATGCAAGGCGCTGCAGAGTCCGGCGTGATGTTTGTAATTGTGCTGCTGCTGAGACGGCTGGAGGTGACGGAGGTTAATTATGTGTCGAATCTCTGTCATCTGCCTCACTCTTGTGAATGAGCTGGCCATGTTTGGGACATTTTGAGGTGTTAGCATTAGCTCTGTATGACAGCAGCCATATTTCAGCAGCCGCGTCTCCGGTCTGTCGTGTGGCGATAAGCGGTAATAGATCCAGTGGCGGCACGGCGTTGAGCATCTCGAGGAAAGCACGGTATGGCCTCGTCCGCAGATAAGCCAGTATTAACCTTGAGCGTAATGAAGTGTGCGGTGGTGTGATGTAATTAATGACTCTGCCCTCGGCTGCTGCACTGCTGACTATACTGACTGTGTTTCCTGCGTACAGTACAGCCGGCCAATGACCACGCAGCGTCCGCCGGCCCGATCCGCGCATACAAAAACTCCAACCGCCAATCAGACGCCTCTGACGCATGTGCTATATCTGCATTGACGTCATGGAGATACTGTTCCAGTATTTCACAAGCACACTGTAAATACACTACAGTAGCAACATGTTTACCTCAGCACGTATATGATGAAAAACTATTATATTTAAGTCAGTTTTATTTGTATAGTGCTTTTCACAATACACGTTTCAAAGCAGCTTTACTGAAAATCATGCTGTTAATGTTTATAATGTCTTATACTCACATTTAACAGATTACAGCTGGGCGATAGTTTACATTTTGTGAGGGAAAAAAATGTAAAAAGTTGAGATACTATTTTAGTACTATTGAATTTTTGTTAATATTTTGAATTAGTTTTTATTTTTACATTTTAATTTTAGTTATAGTTTTAGCAAATTTGGTTGTGTATTTTTATTTAATTTTAGTAGTTTTTCTTTATACATATATACATGTATGTATGTAGTTTTTTTAAAATACATTTTTATTTCAGTTTTGTTTTTTAGTACATTGAGTTAAACTAAATTAAAATGAGAAATGTTGCACTGGTAACTAGCTGAAATAAAATGATTTTTATGTTTAATTTAATTTAATTTAATTTCAGTTACATTTTATTTCAAGTAACAAAAATGTTTTAATGGGTTTAATTTTAGTTTCAGCTTTAGTTAAGTATAATATCCATAACTGAGATTTGCTATATTGTATATATTGCTTTACGTTAGTTTACTTTATGTACATTTACATTATATTTACATTCAGTCATTTAGCAGACGCTTTTATCCAAAGCAACTTACAAATGAGGAGAATAGAAACAATCAGAGCAACAAGAGAGCAACAGTATACAAGTGCTGTGACAAATCTGTTAGTCCACACATTGCAAGTTTTTTTTTTTTATAAATTAGACCAAAATGAGTAGAATAGAATAGAATAGGTAAGTGCTAGTATTAATTGGTCAGGTGCTGGCGAAACACACACACACACACACACACACACACACTCTCACACACACACGCACACACACACACACACACAGGCGTGATGAGAAACGTATCTTGCTGCCAGCTGTAATCTGCAGAGTGAATGTTTGCCAAAAGCAGAATCCACACACACGCTGCATGTGAAGGGTGTGTTTGACTGACTATGTATGTATGTGGATAAAGTTGGACATAACTTTATATAACGAGCTAATAAGGTCTAATAAGATTTAGTAAGATAGTGCATGAAATTTTACTGTACAATGATGGCATTATCATATGATTTACAATGCAAAAAAGATCTACATGTCATTTACTGTAACTTACTGCCAGTCAGATTGACTTTTCAAAGTCCATATTCTAAAATAAGAAGAACATCAGGGTTTTTAATCTTTGTTTCATAGAATGATTGATCTGTTTATTGACAGAATATTTCTGGTTTGATAGCAGCAATGAGAATGAGCACAAGATCATGATCTGATTTAGGAAACGCTTCCACAAATGAAGGATGAGAGGAAAATCTCATGCGTTTAGACGACTGATTCCTGCAGTGAGAAGATCAGAGCTCCTCTGCTGCCATCTGCTGCTCATCATCACACACTGCACACGCTCACACACTAACACTCACTTCATCATCTTCATCATCTTCATGTGAAAGTCCATGAGCAACAAACTATGAATGACAAATTATTTAACAATAATTAAAACATAATTTCATATATATTTATACATTCTATTATATATTGTACATAATAATATAAAATAAATATATGATGATATACTGTATACCAGCATTGAATTTGTTTTTCATTATCATAAAAGCTTTTGCTTAAATGACTGAGTATTAGTTTTTAGAGAAGTACACTGCAATACATATATATATATATATATATAACTTCCTCAGTATTTCTGTTTTGCTTTCCAGTACAAATATCTAAAAAATCTTAAATCAAGATACATTTTCTGGAGATGCAAAATGACATGAGATATTAAGTCTCGTTTTGATAAAAATTTATTATTATTAAATGAGTTTAAGCTTAATACAAGAACAAATATCTGTGCATGGGGTCAGAAAAATAATCTTGTTTTTCCTCTGAATTATGTTTATTTTCTGAGCCCACTGGCAGATATTTGTTCTTGTTTTAACCAAAAACTTACCTAATTTTAAAACATTTTTCAGAAAAAATATCTTACAATTTTAAGTTATTTTGCATCTCCAGTAAATGTATCTTAATTTCAGGATGTTTAGAAAACAAGACAGAAACACTGAGGAAGACATTCCTTTTTTGGAGTGCATAAATAGTTTTTTCCATATAAATTTATATACATGAATATTAAGGAGCTACAAACACACACACACACACACACATATATATATATATATATACATACATAGATACAGTTGCTTCACCTCATCACTGCATTTATCACTGCAAACACACGCTCATATAATCAAACTAACGAAACTCAAGCCTCATGAAATCAGGAAGTGAATGTTCTGCTTCATGAATTCAGTGAAGCGCAGTGAGTGATCTCCAGACTCACACTGTACTCTGATGCGGTGTTGACTGTAGTATGTACTGTGTTTGCTGAAGATGAACATGCTGGAAATCAAGCTGCTGCTCTCACAATGACCACGAGAGGGCGTCAGTCTGTGCACACATCACTGCTCAACCCA